TAATTTACTAATTTTTACCAAGGTTTGGCTTCAAGCTGATTAGAGCTATTATATTTCGAAATTTTATCTAATCTACCGTATAAGCGTAGTCCAGGAAAATAGCGCTATCGTGCGATATTCATGTCCACAATACGTAGCTCTCGTAGACGAAGAACTAGTCAAACCCTTTCATTTTTAGGGTCAATTAGTGTGGCAATAGCGCCCATTTGGCTCGCATTTATCCAAAGGGAGCACTCTTATTTTTTGTCAGTAAACTGGTAGGTTATTTTGTTTACTGATCTTTTTACTGACGGCCCTTTAAGTTGAGAGCGGCGTTGATAAGACCCGCCCTTCTTAACTTTTCAATGCTTGTCTAGCTCTCAGTGCATTCACGACTAATTTAGTGAGAACGGAAGCGCCCTGCCATATCTGCAAGAAAGGCCACTGCTCCTGAATGATCTACATCAACATCTTCGTCATGTACACAGCTTTAATGAATAATAAATAGAGCAAGTGAAACTTGCTGTCAAGCAAGCCGTTTATGGAGACGAAATTCTCCGCGGTATATGTAAAAAGCCATATTTTTCCAGTAGAGGTCTAAAAATGCGTAAAAAGGTAGGATAAAGTTGCGTTATTTTAATTTGACTGGCTGTTGGAACTCGTATACTGCGTGAGTCCCTGGTCTCGTACACACCCGTGTATAAGTGTAAGTTTTAGAGCAGTTGACCGTTCATATGGCACATCTGTTTCAGAGGGCACAACTGAGATTGGAGGAGAAGATGGAACTGTATCCTTACAACTACGCAGACGAAAACTCTAACTGATCCTTCTTCGCACGTACTCACGTTCTAGGATATTTACTTTAATTGTTGTTTGCTCAAAATCCGTTGAAAGGACTTCATTTCTGGCTCATTTCATACAAGATCGGGTCTCTAGGTTATTGTTTGTGTCGCTTTATACTCGGCGCGCTTATACGTGAAGATTTATACTGTACTCGTTAAGCTATTTTCCAGATGTTACCCTGGACGCAAACAGAAAAAAGAAAACAATTATGTTTCAAATTATAAACGTTTCGAAATCTGAATTGCACAACACTGTAGATGTTCCATTTTGATTGCTAACTTTGTAATTGATATTAAAGAGGATTGGATACACAAGCCACTTTCACCGATTGTCTATTCTCGATATGCACATCAGAAAGGATCACGCTATCGAAAATTCAGTTGGATTCTCAGATTGCAACACTCAAGCTCCGCTGGCTATCCTCACCGCTCCCACGCCTTGCCAGTAGACTATATATCTTTCAAATGGCAGAAAAAACATGTGAAAACGTAGCTAATGTCACAGATCTCGAAAAAAACTGTAGAAGCAGCATAATCTCAAGAAAAATGCAGTACTTGATTATCAACTCAACAAGCTGTACTTTGGCACAGATCTTCTTTGATTTTGATTATAATGAAGAATCGAGGTAAAACAGTAGGTCTATGCGGATCCGAACAGAGAAGATGCCGTTGTCCACATTTGCCTGTCAAGCCTGAGAAGGATAACGTGCTTCAATTGATTAGTACTGGGCCGCGATTCGGTTTCCCCCTCTTGCCCTAGTTCCAATCCGATTATGGGCGTTCTATTGCAAGCGCATCAAGTTCACTGCAATTACCTGGAAAACGATTAACAGGAATAATAGAAATGTTTTGAAGACTGCGTCCGGGATCCGACGATAACGAGGAGAACGCAGATTGCAATAGCACCCATCCTGGTAAAGGTTTTGGCCATGTGGCATTGTTTTTTATTGGTTTTATAGCGAGAAAACCACTTTAGTAACTAGGCTTAAGCGCCATTTCTGGTCATCGTTTCCTGTCTACCCACTCATCAATTTTGAAGTGCAAGCTAGAATTTGCGTATGGCGCACAGATATGAGCGTTGATTTCCGACTCTGGGTCTCGACCCTGGCGAGCTCGGCGTCCATTCGTATCAAGGAATTCAAGAAAGTCCCTTTGTGGTGAGCAAAAAATTCTTCTTTCACTTTTTCCCTTTTTGCAACAATGCCTCAGTGAAAAATTGTCATTTTGCATGCTAGTGTAAGAGATTGTTACTCTTAGTAATTTACAATAAGTGTAGTAGGATGAGTGGTGTTGTGGTATGAAGCACCGCAATCCTTACCTGGGCCTACTTCCCTTTCTACCCTCCAGGGCTAGTGAATTGATACCAGAGTGATTTGGGAGAATAAAACCACTCAATTAATAATTGGCTGGCCCCCGCAAGTCACTATTAAAGGCTCACCCTCACTTAGCAGCCTTTTCGAGCACAGCGGCGTTCGGCGCAGCCCGCGCAGTAGGTGCTAAAACCGAATCCTTTATCTTTTCACAGGGTTGGACCATACTTCGCTGGGAAAGCGCTTACGCGGCGTGCGCAGCGTACGATCGGTATGCTTCACCATAGGAGCATACGCGGCGTACGCTGCGCACGCCGCTTTAACAGCGCAGTCTGGCCGAACCCACAGTAAGCGTATAATACCATCATTTTATGGCAGACAAGCTGGCATGCCCGGCTTCGTTCACGTCAAGATTTAACTGGCTGAACAAAAAGCAAGATTGGCGCACAACTTTCAAAGCTCCCTCACTGCGCTCTAGCTTTCTTCTCCTTCTCGTGCAACACAGAGCAGACCTAATCGCATCGCACTGATTTACCGTATTTCATCCATCGTGGAATGGAAACGAGTTTTAATGCTATTGTTTACACGAATGCTGAATTTGGTTTGATAATATCGATAAGAGGTTCATTTTTCTTCAGAATCGTTACATCAATAGAACGAGCGGAAATTTCGCTGTGAAAGGTAGCCCACGGGGTTGACCGGCGTCGGAAGCATAAGTTTCGCGCCGATTTGTCTACACACAGAAGTTTTTATAAAAAACACATTAACAATTTACCAACCCTCAGCTCTATGTATACAGGGTGTCCCAAAAAAATGTTAACACTGTTTGATCGTTAATAACTCCCTTGCTTTCAAGTCTTTCGCCGAGCTTTAGGCACCATTCTGTAGAGCGAGGTCCAACTTAGATTTACAGTGTAGAGCGAATCATCTAACGCTTCTCGTTACTGTAGAATTACGGTAGGAAATTCCAGCATGTGGAACCGTCATGAAATATGCCCTCTGACAAAAATTTTTTCAAAAAATCTGAAAAATTGTGTACTAGGGTTTTCGCGCACTCTGATTTTACTACACAACTTTTTGCGTGTGTTTTCAGCTTTTTTGACGGCGTAATCACATTTTTGACACATGCTGGGAAGTCAGTTATTACACTTTACCGAGGATAACTTTGAAAAGAAGTATCATAATGAAATGAAAATTTCATATCCGAAATTGGCTGCTTTCATTACCATAGTACAAGAGATTTTGGCTTGTTTGGCTCTGTTTTAAAGCAGAAAATGGGCTTTAATGGCCTAAAATCCTTGTCAAACTTCCTACCGTAATTCTACAGTAACGAGGAGAGCTAGATGATTCATTCGATACTGTAAATCTAAGTTTATCCTCGCTCTACAAAATGGTACCTGAAGCTCGGAGAAAAACTTGAAAGCAAAGGAGTTATTAACGATCAAACAGTGTTAACATTTTTTTGGGACACCCTGTATATTGATGAAACTCAAAATTGTCAATTTGGAGGCTATGTGCCTTATAGAAACGCGCGCCGCTCAACCGAGCTGAAACTTTGCACACATATGTTTTGCGCAGATGATAGGCTACTGTTTTGAGGCAGTTGGGTCTTTCTATCAGTTATTGATTCGTTTGCGTTTTCTGAGAAGAAGGCTTATCACGTTTAACCAAGCATTTTCCTATAGTCACGTAAAGGAGGGCGGTGAACTCATTTCCACCCCAGAGCACGCGGATGCGGTGAATCGAAGTGGATGCCGCAAGATAAGTCATCCATGACATGGATAAGGAGGGGAAAGGGTTTCGCAATGCGGTACTCTTGCTGACAACCGTAGCATTTACTTCGTTCCCTGTGAACAATAGCCCGGGCTGGAAAGGGGAAGCCTACTAGTATATGTAGAGATGTACCCTGTTGGGGAAAAACTCATATGTTATTCAAAGCAGTCCATATTGCGAATACAAAACCTATGCTAGCGTTTGATCAACGTCGCGATTGAATTTGTAGCCATATTGAACTGTTGCACCAATAATATGTAAAAATCCAACTGAGATATTTTTTTCGCATCAACTGTCCCAATTATTGTAGTTGTTTATGTAAGCCGCACTCGAGTTTAGTAATATTATTGGCTGACGTCTCGGCAGATCGCCTTCTTCAGAGCCTGGAATGGGCAAAACGATTTGCAGCCTATCCGATCAAACGTCTCTGCAGCTCCACAAGCAAAGATCTAAGACTTTGCCTGTTCACGTTGCCTGCCGAAACGTCAGCGAATAAATAATTATTACCAATCTCGAGTGCGACTTACATGAACAACTACAATATCTACGCCATGCCGAGGTTCATAGAGAGGCGAACAATCCATGTCCAAATTATATTTTATGCATGCACTTGCTTTGCTCTTCTCAGATAAGTATTCTTGTTGTACAATAATGTCTTGCGGTAAAAAGGAGTGATTTGGAACGGTCGAAAGGACGTTGTTCACGAATATGGATCATCCAGGACCAGAGAGTAGGTATGATGAGGAACTCAGTCAGACTTGTACAATACAGGACATACTTGTATGATTTTTAGGGTCACTTAAGCGCTTTGAATAGACAGTTAACTGAACAAATGTCTGTGGATTTGAACATTTACACAACGCAGTTTTGAAGCAGGCTATACAAAGGCAAATGTGTAATTTGAATGGCTACATAATCGCCAAGTTTTTGCAGCCAGAACATTCATAATGTAATTTGATATGAATCATGTTCCTACGAATTCTAGTAAATGGGATACTCTCACACTCATGAACAAAACACCTGATCAAAATCAGCACTCATTATTGGATTGTAAATTCAATGTATTACACCTTTTGACCTCTTACAACCCACTAACCTCTTGACATAAACCATCATTGTATTCCGGTGAGCAAAACAGGTTTCGTTCCACGTCCGAAAAGATCCAGTCAACAGGTTTGATTTTATAGTAGGCTGCAATTGCATTTGTAATATACTTCACATCGTCGCTTCTGAAACAAAAATTCGCCTGTTTGAAAGAAACAAGGATTTATTGGAGGTGGGCAGAATCTTTTTATCAAAACTTTGTTTCAATTCACAAATTTTGTAGTTTGAATCGTGAGTTTTTTGAAGTGCATTCTCCTCACATACAAAGAAAGCATCGTTTACGCTTAGAATAAGCATGAGACGGAGTTTGGACATATAGAAGGGGAATGTTATGAGTAACCTCTTCTACACCTCCCCCAATATTGGTCAGCTCAATGATTTGTGAGTGCTAAGTTTTGATAGATTTGACAAGAAGCACAGTTGACCAATGTAGAATGGCTGACTTCAAGTAGAGGACTAGTCCAAGTAAATTTTAATGCTAAGAGTTGCTTAACTCAATTGAGGAGACTCAAATCAGTCTGATATTCAAAAGGTCGGTCGAGTATCGAGTTTTCGCTAGAGCTTAGCTGTTCAGTCATTTATTTGGAATTTTTTGCTTCATAGTGACAATTCTTTTCTGTGCTCGCGCATCGCCTCACAATCGAATGTATTTACGTGCCTCAGTTCCTATCTGCTTTGCGATCTTATTGAACAGGGAACTTTCTGATCTTTACTGCGTATTCTCTTTGTGAAATTATCAAGATGAGTAGGTCTTAATTACCTGAATAGCTTCCCAATAAAGCCAAGTCGGGAGAAGAGCATGCTAAACCATGATCCTCCTTCTTTGAGATTTATGTAATTCATGATAGTTTTTCTAAAAAAAACTTTTATTAGTGGAAATTAGTTGCCTTTTTTCGTTCCATTGCAGAAGAAATTCATATATAACTGACTTTAAAAATTTTCCTGCGTGTTTCAACTTAGCATATGGAATCAAAAACATTGTTGGATAAACAGGAGGTCAAGAACCTACCAGGTCGGTGCAAAAGTTTCGTTAATTCTTTCAACCTACTCGCAAATCTCGCCAAGTAGAGGCAGACAAATAATGCAAACTGCGTCCTATGCAAAATAATTCTTCTGGTTAGTAGTTATGATCGCGATGTTATTGTTTCAGCAATAATAAGATAAGATGGTGATGAGATAATTGCCAAAGTTTACGATCTGTTACTTTCACCATGTCCAAGTTTCACTACCTTTCAGAATTTTTATGTGAAAACCACTCTCAAGGAACTTTGATAGCCAACACATAAGGCAAACCTTTTGCAAATTGATGCAATTTATTATAATCCTAAGTCTTGTTTTTGAGATTTTTAAAATAATGTTTTTAGAGTGATTACAATTTATGTTTGGTCTATTCAAACCTCGTAATACATGAAGTGGTAAGCATCTTGCATATTAGTCGATGCATTCTTTTCTCCTCTTCCAAATAGTTATCTTTGTTTTGTAAACGCGACATTCGCAGACAGAAACACCGTTTTCAATTTTATCAATTTTACGAGTGCTATCATTCCTATTTATTCACATGCTGAAGCGATAACCGCTTGTCCACTTTTGAAATCAGTGGTATTCTGGTTTCTACAGTGTTTGGTGCATCTAGGCGTTATGCGATTTTATCGAAAACTCAATATTCCTTGCAAAACAGCAGTCTCTAAGTCGAAGCTGGAAAAGAACAAAGTCATTACCAAAAAGCTCTTCAGCCCGTTACTAGAGCGTTATCAAATCACTGTATAAAAAATTTAAAATTTAAAAGTTAGACATGGTGGAAATGAAGGTTTTAGTCTCCGAAAAATATCTCAGCGCTCGCAGGAGATTCATTTTGTCATCGCTTGTAGAACAGAAGTTCCGCATAGTGCAGATCAACTCAACTAAAGGAATTACGACTTACTAAAAGGCATACCTCTTTTTGCCAGCTATGCAATACTTGTTCTTTTCCATCTTCCAAAAGTTTGCAGGATTATTTTGCAAAGGAATTTTTCCGAAAAAATTGAAAAAATTATAAAATCTTGTGTGAAAAAGCGCTGTGACCAACTTTTTTCTCAATCAAGACCGTTATAGCTGGGTACTAGCTGAACTGGATCCGACTCATTGGTCACAGTTGATCATGATTCTTCCTCAAAAATCGCAGCTGCATCAAATATTTTTTTACCAGTACAAGACATTTCATTTTGTCCTCTAGGCTTTTCATAGTCCTTAGAAAATTCTCATTGCTGGCGCAATTATGCTCCAATCACAAGCGCCTCAATCTCAAAGCATGAATGTCTTACATTTAGTGAATCCAATGACCATTACGCTTGCCTCTTTCTTTCATTTTCTTAAATATTTCAGTCTTCCTGAGCGACTCGTTTTGGTGTAATGTGAGGGAAGGAGTGGTGAAAGGAATTGTTTTACAAAATATAAAAAAGTAAATATTAGATTGATGCATATTCAGTGCATGTTACTTATCCTCGGGCGGCAGAAAATGTATAAAAATCTATCATATCATTCGAGAAAACAAAGCAAACCCTATAAAATAGAGTTCAAACAATCTTACGAAGTTTGATACGTGATAAGCTGGGAAGGAAAATCTAGAAATCTTCAAATGCCCAAAAAGCGGTTCTCAGAAAAATTCTACAATCATCCAGCATGTCAAAGAAAATTACTCGTCGCATAAGCAATACATTCCTACAGTTGTTTTATTTTCCACAGCTAGAAGCTAAAACATAGCATTTGACTTTAGCAAAATCAGTGCTGAACTGTTTCGACATAATTGATTCCGTACTACAAGCCTTTCAAACATAACAGTAGGCTCTCGGCCTTGTTCGAGCGTTAGTTCTCGAGGAATATCCAAGCCAACATATAAAGAATTTGAAAAAGACGTTATTTTTGAATTCTTGGCCTGTTTTCATCTCTGAATTTCCAGTTACGAAAAAATGAAGCAAGTATACATATGATTATCTCATGTGTGTAGTATTAGGTTGTCCCGAAAGTTTTGTCGGTTTATTCAAACCACTGTAGAACCACGCACAATGAACATTTGAGTGAGTTTCAACGTGCATTCGATGCAACTTTTCCTTCTCTTTCTTAAGGATACACTTTCATACCATAATCTTGTATGCTTTTTTTGATAACTGCCAAAATTCTCCACCTGTCAATTTTACCTGCTCAAAGTTGAGCTAATTTTCAAAAATTTTATTACAAAGTTTCGAAAAAGACTAACTATGGGTCAAATAGAGCAACTCTCGGGCTACAAGTTCATGTTTTTAGATTCTCTAAATCTGCTGAATTTAACTTCAAAAAATTATTTCTCCGGAGGCCTTGGTTTTTAGCAAAGTCATGAAACGCGCAATCGCAGCAAAAGCATGAAAGCTTTTGAGTTTTTGGGTATTCAAACTTGTTTGTTATTTAACATCATTTATGCAACATAACCAAGTTTGATTTGCTTCAAAAATCAGCTTTTTGGAATTTTCGGTAATTTTACGTGATAAAACGTGCTCAAAAAGCCGCGGTTTTTCTCAAATAAATAATTATTACGGACTTTATAAACGTGGTCCACGTAATCTGAAATAGGTACAGTGTAGCCAAAGGTTTGCCCTACATAACAGTCACCAGCGCTCATCGAAAAATTCAAGATAAAAATTTTGAAAATTCAGGAAAGTTTTGGCGCTATTGCTGAGGTGCTCAAGTCATGGCGATAACATCGTAAAGACGAGGTAGATCAGGGAACAAATATAGCTATAAGAAAGAGGATACAAAAATTAATAGAATGACACCTAGGCCGTCCATGGATTGGTGTTCTGTGAGGTTTGGTGAGCGATGGAAAAAACCGACAAAACTTTCGGGATAACCTAATATATGCTCAAACAGATTGGTTCGCAAGTTCTTTCTAAACGGAGGTTTGGTTTTTAGGTATTAAAATTTTTCGGGTTTTTGCGCAAACTTCATATAGATCTAATCTTTTGCGATTGCTCATATACTCTCTTATAGAGCTTCCTTTGCTGTATCAACTAATAGAGCATTCATAGTACTTAGTCAGTCAGTCATTTTTTTCCGCTAGTCATTTCGCTTCGCATTTTTTATCTTCTGACCTTATTCTTTAAGGACGTCTACAGAAACTCTCAACTAAGCAACTACTTTACCTTAAGATAAGCACTATTTTTGCTTACAAATATAACAGTGTTGCAATATAATGCAAACATGGTTGCTTCTGATTTCCAAGAGACATGAAAGTTTCAGGAAGCAAAATGATTGGATGCAAATCCATTTTAGCGCGTTTGTAAAAGTATAATAAAAGCAGACAAAGCTTGCATAAAAAAAAGTTTAGAATTAACGAAGATATTCATGTTGCTGATTTTTGTAATATTTTGTTTTTCAAGCATTTATTAAACGCTCTCTCCAAATATATTTTCTTCATTTACGGAGTGCATTACTGAACAGAGTTTTGAATATCTGTATCTTCCTAAACTCTTTTTTTCTCGTTTATAGTGAAACTAGCGACCCTACGGGTCGCTAGCAAGTGGGTTGGGCAGATACAATATAAGGGCTTGGTTGTGACTATAATTATTTCTAAATAAGTTTCCTATTCCTTTCCTGAGGACATTTTTGCGAAGAGCATTTCTACAAAAGGAGAACTGCTCGAAGAAGCTATTATCTCCACAAATCACCTAGCATTTCTCAAAATTCCTGCTGCAACCATGCATGGAGAATATTATTTTCCTCTCGTTTACCAGGCTCTTTCTGCAAATTTCCCCTCCTCACAGAGACATTCAGATAAAAAACCCCCCACTTTTTACCCCCTCAAAGAGAATTTGCTCTTCCGGTTCTTCTCAACAAGTTCCATAAAATATCGTTGAGTAAGTAGCAGAACACCTATCGTTTTGGAAGTAGAAGTACACATAATAACAATTATGTGTGCTACAAAAAACACTTTTCTCTCAGAATCAATTCCGACAGCGACAAAATCAATCGTCTAAGAACTTTGTCCGAGAATCCTTCAATTTTTTCGCCAAAGGATAAGAAGCTTTACTACAAAAGAGATCCCTCCCCGAAAAGCACGACTATTGAGCCACCTAAAGACCGTCAATTATAAGAACTGCGCAAACGTACAAAAAATTTGTTTCTCTGTCCGATCAAATTGCCCTACATGCCGCTTACACACCGATACCTAGTTGAAAGCATCAGCGGGACCCACTTACACAAGCAAAAGCAAGGCTGTTGTTAGATAAACGCTTCCAAAAGTACCAGCGAGGCCAAATTACTCACGCACTTTCTTGTCTACACGCGGAAGCAAGATAATCCTAAAGTGACTGTTTTAGTTAGGGCATTTTTACCAAGAGTTGAGAACGTAGATGAATTTAGCTCAAGTCACGCTGTTACGCAATTTGGCATCATTTCAAAGCAACTAATAGGAGTACAACATATTTGTAAGGCACATCTGGGATAACCAGCTCGAAATAAGCACGTTCAAATAACACACCCGGACACTGGCGACCCAGTCTCTCATTGCGACACTCATGATTGCCTTTCGAAAAACGTGTACCCTTTCACGAAAATATGCTTGGTCACTCGTTATAAAATTTGGCAGCGTTCAAACACATGTCACTTGGCAGCAATGCAAGAATGAACATCTGTACATCTCGTCATAATTTCTCCATCTGCTGTCTCCTCGTTTGCCTTGTTCCACGGATCAGTGGTCAGGCGGTAAACAACGAATTCATCATATATTACGTAGTAATGCCATCTCTTTACCACAATGCTCGTTACATCGCTTCTGCTGACGTAGGCAGCAAACACCTAGTTCCCTTTGCAAAACTTTCATAGACATACGAATATTTTGCAGTAGCGAGAATATCATCTTCCAATTGCATGTAGTAGTCAGCCTTTCTCGAAGCGTAATTCATCAAATAGAAGTAATCTGTAAAGGTGCAATTTGATATGTTCGAAGCAATATTTTGTATAGTCATACTGCAAATTCCTGAGACAAACTTTGTCGTTGTTTGCAACCATATTATAGTTGGCAGTAAATGTAAGCAACGATTTACTTACCCAGATTTTGTTTCGTCCTCCACAACATTCTTTCGTTTGAGTCTCTAAATGTGGAGTTGAACGAGTCTGGCAGTAGCAGTTGGTGCCACAATGGAGGTATGATAAAAGCCTGAATTTATGCGATTAGTTGCAGTAACCATTCCCTCCTGATAATTAAAAAAAGTAAGTCGTGGAAGGTTTCAATGACAGGTTTCAATGTTTTACTACTTCATCAGCTCGGCTCCACCGATCAGTTGGTGCCATAACGTAGGTGTGAAAACTCAAATTTATGCGATTCACGCCCTGCGACGCCATCGCAATCATATTTCCTGGGTATTTTCCACGCTCACGCTCCTGCACTCGTTGTTCATGCAAAATCGACATAATTTCACGAGCGCAGCGCAAGGTTCGATCAAGGAAACAATGGAAACTGCTGAAACGGTGACACTCTCACTGACTTAGCATCTAACTTTTGATTCGACTGGTTTGGCGGCTGGAAGGCGGGGCTTTGTGACCTAATTAAGACTGCTCGTGCCCACAATGCAGTCTGCGTCTCTCCCGCGCGCGTGCTTTCTGATCATTAAATGCCTTAATTAGGTCAGGAAGCCTCGCCTTCTAGCCGCCAAGCGATTTGAATCAAAGGGCACATTCTCTGGCGTATTCATCAACATATGTAAGGTGTCCCAAAAAAAATGTGAACACTGTTTGATCGTTAATAACTCCCTTGCTTTCATGTCTTTCGCCGAGCTTGAGGCACCATTGTGTAGAGCGAGGTTCAACTTAGATTTATAGTACGTAGCGAATCACCGATCACTCTTCGTTGCTGTAGGATTACGGTAAGAACTTCTAGCATGTGGACCCATTTTGAAATATGCCATTTAATAAATTTTCCCCAAAATATCTGAAAAATGATGTTCCAGGGTTTTCGCGCACGCTGATTGCACTGCACAACTTAATACGAGTGTTCTTATCTTTTTTGACGGTGTAATCACATTCTTGACAAATGCTGGGAATTCAGTTATTACGATTCACCTGGGATAACCGTGGAAAAAAGCATCACAGTAAAGTGTGATTTTCATATTCGCAACCAGCGGCTTCCATTACCGAAGTACAAGAGTTTTTGGCCTGTTTGGTTTTGTTTCGAAGCAGAATATGGTCTTCAATGGCCTAAAATCCTTGTCAAAACTACCGTAATCCTACAGTAATGAAGAGCGATCGATGATTCGCTCCATACTGTTTGTCTAAGTTGAATCTCGCTCTATAAAATGGTGCATCAAGCTCGGCGAAAAACTTGAAAGCAAGGGAGTTATTAACGATCAAACAGTGTTCACATTTTTTGGGACACCCTGTATTGAGGTTATACACTTGAGAACAAATACCCATTTTCACAACCACACAATGTGTGCTTAATTAATCGCTTACATATATTGAGGTATGCAAAACATACCCAGACTTATACAACCCTTAAAAGTCCTTGACCCGTATTTACGAACATACGAACGTTCTAAATGATTTTATGATATCTTCCAGTTTCAAGATGCTGTATAAGCTTTCAAGGTTTGCATAACGTTTGTTCCACATAAAACTTGAAGCCAATATCTAAAAACTACATGCCCGAAAATTAAAAAAATCGGATCTTTGTTGTAAACAATACTACGGACCTTAGCTCGCTAGCGCATGTACACATCACGTAAATCCATTCTATATACAGTGACCACCAAAAAGTTGCGGACAAGCCTCCCTCCCTTTTTCATCGCTCTTTTTCAGAGAGAAAACAAGGATGAAAAAATGTAATAATTGCATGAGGTGATAGAGCTCTTCAAGGTCTGCAATTTGCACTTTAAGTTTTTTAAGAAACATGTGTTCTAAAAATTTTAAGAACCTTTTTCTAAAAAAAGTCCGAAAATGGCCGCGTCACAATGTCGTGGACAATAATTCTTCGAACGCAAAAATTTTCTTTTGAGTCCTATTTTAAAGCGGAAACACAAGTAATCCGGACGGGTAAACACACTACTATACAGAGCTTGTCAAGAGCTACACACTGGTTATGGTTGCTTCCCCAAAAAACGCAAGCTTGAATTTTATTTTACTTTTTTCAAAAACAACTTCTAATTTCCTTTATCAAGTTCTTCACCCGGAAACCTGTTCAAGACACCCCAACAAAGCCGTCTGGATAAAATAGATGCTCTTTGCCAACCTCTACGCATCGGACGTGCGCTGATGAGTTTCTTGGCTGATAATGGCCCTTGGCAGTGCTTGCACATGACCCCACCTGCACCTCACCATTGACTTGCACCCCTTTGCAGGCTTGTAACTCGGCTTGTAGTCAATATGTGAGCCTGAGATTAGGCTGATTTGAAAGGTCGAGACTTCCCCTACACGATGGTTTGCAAAAGAGTTGAGTTTGAGAAATCAAGATTTGGCGGATGGGGTGAAAAGTGCAGCCTTAGAGTGATTGGAGTGAAAGCTCTTATGAACACCAGAACAGTCTTAGAGCTTCAAAATGGATCTATTACAAGGAAATTGACAGTTTTGAACTTCCAGGATGAAATTGGTAGCGAAAGGAGCTCTCTTCATATTTAGCTGAAAAGTGCTTAGACTACAACTGAAGCTGCCTTCTACCACCCCATCCGCCAAATCTCTAAGATTGCTCAGACTGAACTTATTTGCAAAATATCGTGTAGAGGAAGTCTCGTTCTTTCGAACGAGACTAATTTCAGGCTCAAACATTGACTGCAAGCCGAGTTACAAGCCTGCAAAGCGGTGCAAGTCAATGGTGAGGTGCAGGTGGGGTCATGTGCAAGTACTGCCAAGGGCCATTATCAGCCAAGAAACTCATCAGCGCACGTCCGATGCGTAGAGGATGGCAAAGAGCATCTATTTTTTCCAGACGGCTTTGTTGGGATGTCTTGAACAGGTTTCCGTGTGAAGAAATTTGGCTTGATAAAGGAAATTAGAAGTTGTTTTTGAAAAAAGTAAAATAAAATTCAAGCTTGCGTTTTTTGGGGAAGCAACCATAACCAGTGTGTAGCTCTTGACGAGCTCTGTATAGTAGTGTGTTTACCCGCTCGGATAACTTGTGTTTCCGCTTTAAAATAGGACTCAAAATAAAATTTTTGCGTTCGAAGAATTATTTTCGACTTTTTTAGAAAAAGATTCTTAAAATTTTTAGAACACATGTTTATCAAAAAACTCAAAGTGTAGATCGTAGATCTTAAAGAGCTCTATCACCTCACGCAATTATTACATTTTTTCATCCTTGTTTTCCCCCTGAAAAAGAGCGGTGAAAAAGGGAGAGGGGTTTCTCCGCAACTTTTTGGCGGTCACTGTGTTTTGTGTGTTTGGCCAATGTAAGCTAAAATTATAAAAGTGTGAACTTTTCTGGCTTTTAGATTAAGGCTGGTTTTGATATTTCCCAAAAACTAGCCCTTGCAGAAATCCAAACATTTGTAGTACACTTCTCGATTTTTATACTATAGAATCATTATGTGAGAACAGCTCATCACTGCTTTGGCAAACGCAGAAAATCGTCCTTCTTTTGTTTTCTAGCCATCGGAAGTATGACTGGGCATTATATGTTAGCAAATTAGGAATTTTATAGAATTTTTTGGATGAAGACACGATATTCTCAACTTTTCGGGCATTTCGCGATCCTCTAAGATTTCGGTTTCAAACTCCACGTATAGCAGACCTTGTGCAATTGATTGGATGCCATTTTATAACTCGCTTTGATGTATCGAAAGACAAGGCATGAATTTCCGCAGTCGAAAACGAAAACCTAATATGTCCCCTGGGCAGTTTGATATTTAGACGTTCTCGGAGGATATAGTAATATTGATAGGCGTAAATGGCATAATGAGAAGGACATTTGTCTATTCACATTTGAAATGGTGAACCATCAAATCCTGTTTGTCAGATCTGTAAATTAGTACTATTAGAACCAATTTAGACTTGATTAAAAACTAGCCAGGTATTCGTGAGGCATGGCCGCTAAGCAGCGGAATCACTAAGAGCACAAACATTCAAGATTTAGGTTTGAGAAGAGATGAAAGAGACATCTCTGTGTGTGACATTTTATTCACAACTGGCAAAATTCACAGACCTCCAACAAACCATCTTGAATCTCCTTTGAGAAATAGCTCAATATGTCCACCGCTGTGTTTTGAAGCCATTCTGTATCCGTTGGGTTGGCAAACATCATAACGAATAAAACCTGTTCTCTGAAACATATCGAATGATTTACGTTTTAGTTCAGATAATCGAGTTCACCTCAGGCAAGGGCAAAAGCTCGAAAATAAGGATTGCATTGTTTCTAGGATGTAATGTCGCGAGACAACAGGGATAGCAAATACCTCAAAATTCTTATAGCTAAACTGCATAAAATAAAAAATACAGTAAAGTTTGTATCATGTTGAACAAATAATCCGCAAAAGAATAACCAATGGGCTTTTTTTGAGTGACAAGTTTACTGCGGAAGCAACAATATAAGCAAGAGTTTGGTGTAGGGGTGAGCGCCTTCGCGTCTGATATCCGAACCCTTCTTGCCAATTTATCGTAAAGTCGGCATTAATAGGTGATCATTGTTTTGTATAGATTAACGTGACAAATGGTCCCTTGATTTCTTGCAAACTCAAGACCTTCGACAAGCTCGAAATGACAATCTTTCATTGCTGATCCAAGTAAAACCTTGGAAGAAAGTTTTTTGAAAAAGCGTCAAATGGAGAATAAAATTGCGTAAAAAGTCGACCGCAGATGTCTGATGAGAAAGATTGACCCTTCAACACTCAGACGGTGAGAGAAAGCACTTGTGTGCCTTTTGCACCTCTTTCCATGCCAACCCTTTTTCTCTCGAGAACAATTGGCGATAGCGGAAGGATAACCAAACCAGTAATATTTTCAAATTTTCGTATGTTAATGCTTGAGACTAAGATGATTCAAATATCGTAGCTCTTCAAAAAGGAAATGATCTTAAGGTTATCTCGTCTTTCAAACTTATATCTTAAACATCAAGTTCAAATCAAAATTTTACTTGTATATAGGGTGAAACAGTTTTGGACTTACTAGTCTTCTTTTTTCTTTGATAAATGGAGTGAGCATAATGGGCTGCAGTTTTGATATATTTGCTGAACTAATCTGAGGGAAGAATCCATTATGACACCCAATGTCTTGAAGTATAATCTGATCTGATTTATATTTGGAAATCTGGAATTGTATCATGTGAGTTGATTGATTCGAAAAAGTCTACCTAGGTTTACCAATTCCTTAATTGACATAGTGCTTGAGAGGTTTTGTTTCGCTGTATCACTCCGCATGCGAGGAATATCGTCGCCATTGACAAACTATAATTTGGATAAGTATCGAATTCAATTTTTTGCTTTATATAGAAAATTGAGCTGCTGTGTGACACATACGTTACAATCACTTGATAACGGAAGCTTCATTTTTAGACATTCACGGAAATAATGCAAATGCATTCTTTAGTAGATACCATTCTGTGTATGTTTGATGACCAAAGTGGAGGTCAGTTAAAATTTTCTGGGAGCAGGTAGAATTTTATGGCAGTTGAAAATTCTTAATTTTTGTCCAAAAATTTACCTGATTACGAATTTGTTTCGGTGATTATTTTGTAAAGCTTGCTTCGCTTTATCGAATGGCTTCCCTATGTCTACTGGGAGAACGACAACTGTTGATTTACTCAAAAATACTATCGGGACAACCTAATATTGATCAATACCAAACGGAAAAGATGGCGCATGAGGAGGATAAACGATGTTTTGGTGGTGAAAAGCTAATGAGATGTTTTTTTTGCGGAATTACTGGAAAATTTTAAATGAAGAATTCATTTCAGAATAAACAGGTAAAAATCCTATGAAGAACCGGACGACTCCTCGTCCATTCATTAAACCAAATTCTACCGCTCATTACTTCCCTTTCCGAATAAAACTTCTCCCGCCATAGTCACATAAGTCTCATAAATGTGCAGTCTCCCCCCCCCCCCCCTCCCCCCGGTCAAATTCGCCATCTTTAGGAAAGGCGAATTCGAAAATCAATGCCTTTATTGCATGCGTTTCGCGTTTTCATGGGGCATGTAGTAACTTGTTTAAGGAAGAAGGGTACCTCGCTTCTAAAAATAACGCCTAGCCCTGATTGATACCACGGTTGAATTCCTTGGCCTCAAACATGCTATGCGGAGGTTTGCGAAGACAACGAAAAATCAAAAGCTTATTAGAAGGACGCAATGCTCGCAGTAACATAAATTTGCCGCTTATTTTGGCGATGTAGTGAAAGTCTCTAGAAAAGTTGAGTGCTTCAAAGCAGGGCTATCAGAAAGAGAAAAGAAACTGCGAAAGCAGCTTAAAACACTTTCGCCGCTTTAATTTCTGGAAAAATCTCTTTCCACTCACCGACTGATACTGCTGAAGGCGTAACATCCTTTTTATCATGAAAATATTGGATACAGCAAAAACTACAAAAAGAAAAAATATTATCATCGCACTGAGCATGCGCTTAGATTTTCTTGGTAGCAATCTGCAAGTAGGATGTTTCAGGTAGTACAAAAAAATATGCACTATATTTGTACACTGCCTAACAATGAGAAAATACTGTTTCGGAAAGCCAGAATTAAATAAAAAAGCAGTGATCGCAGCGATCGCAAAGTACCCTAAAATCTCACAGATAAGTGCTCCCTTCAGATAAGTCCGTCTACAGTTAAGTCCGCCATCAGAAAAGTCCGCTTTTTTGACTCAGGTAAGGTCTTCAGATAAGTCCGCCTACAGATAAGTCCGCCTTCTTTCCATTACAATTACCCTAAAATCTCACAGATAAGTCCAGACCTACCTATAGGCGGACTTATCTGATGGGAGGACTTATCTGCAAGACTTTTGGCGGCGCGAGGGCGATTTTTCATCGATTTTCCGTGTCAAAAAAGCGGACTTATCTGTAAAACTTTATGGTAAGTCGATTAGGGGTTCTAGCTGATTTCTCAAACCATGCTTCCAACAGTCAGAGAAGTGAAGATCGTAAAAAGCAATTGGAACTCTCCTTATGGTGCAGCTGAGTAGGCCGAGCGGAGCGAAGAATACCAGCCGAAAACGTGCAAATCAAGTAATCAAAATGCAGATGGCACTTTCCTTTTTCTTACCACATAGTAGGAGAAAACTTGAAGCTAAGAGCGTCTTCGATAGAATGTACGTTTCAGAATCAGTGCTTTAAGATGTATGTACAGGGCTTATCAAGTGCAGTGTCGGGTGCGGCTTTCCGCTCCCGCTCCCTAAACTCTGCGCCTCTTTCGCAAACACGCTTTCTGATCACTTCCCGGAAAGGGCGGAGCCTTAGTCGATTACAAATGATTAGAGCGCATGTTTGCGGAAGAGGTGCAGAGTCATGCGCGAGCGCGAAGATGCTGGTGCACCCGACACTGCAAGTGATAAGTGCTTAGTTTTTGGAGGAGACTTACACCTTTCAAATAACTGCCTTCACATGTTATTAACTAACGTAATCGAACAACAGAGCTATGGTGCTCTTTCGGATTATTTGACCGAGAAAACGCAAGCTTATTTAGTTTCGCCTTCACATTGCCGCTGTTGCTGCCACTGCTATTACCGTCGCTACTGCTGTTACTGCAGTTGAATGAGGATTGATTAAATTCTTCATCATCAGTACGACCTTTATCAGTAAGGAGAACTCATTTAGAAGAATGAGACTTTAGCAGCAACCATAACAGTAATAAGGAAACGGCAGTTGTGTGCCGTTGCCTAATGCCAGTTGATTCGGATACCCTTCTTTTATTGCAAGCACTAATATTTCTCGCTAAGTTGTAGCTTATATAGATGATGATAGATATAGATGATAAATGATCGATTTTATTATTATGCCAAACTCCATAAGTGTTGGATGGAAAAATTATGAAAAAACAGTAACCAGATTGTGCTTACTTGACAACAGACGCTCTGAAAACATGAAGATAGTTGTAGTAACCAGGAAATACTGTCCACTTATTAGCGTCCAACCGCATGCGAAACTTTGAAGAATGTGAGAGTTCCAACAAATCATAAGTTCTCCACTACATGCATAGACGGCGGCTTTACGCGTTTTGATATGTTCGCATTTGTTTTCAGTCGGACGCTTCTCTCCATTCATACACACAATAGCTCAGCGCGTTTTCGATTGCGAATTAGTGCGTTTCAAAAAATCATGTATCGTCGATTCGTTGACTGTACGGACTGGACACAACCGCGCAGCACGCGCCGCGAGGTAAAACGCTTGCTCTAATACAAACTCGCAACTCGCCATTGTTAAAATCGTGCTCTCGCAACATTTTAACCGCGCCGCGCGTGGTCCGTAGCGTTTAAGCAATCCGTACTGTCAACGAATCGACGATACCTATATACTTTTGCAGGTTAGTCAACAAAGTGCCCTCACATCAAGAAATGAGTACCATACTGGATAAACATGTCAAGTAAGCTCCAAAGCCAAACATCCTCATTATAAGCACCATTTTTCTTTTGGACGCTAAAGCAAATAGAAATTGCAACGCACGCATCCTTCGCGTTGCCGCTATGCTAAAAGTATTGTTCGATTTGTCAGTATCTCCTAAATAAATAGCGACGGCACAGCTTCAGAAGAATGTCTCAAAAGTACGGCTTAGGCCTTTAAAGGCAGCGTCCAGTCAGATCTGGACCTAGGGGGATTTTAGATGCAAAATGATTTCGGGGCCCTAACTAAGCCACTGCCCAATCGGCAGCTCAGGTAGTGCTCTAACGGCTGAGATATACGCCTTCAGTTTGGGCTCCAGGATCGTTTTCGCATGGATTCATGGCAACCCCTCAGTTTCGCACGAGAACCCACGCGACACTGATGGGTTGCGTCGTGAATCCATACGAGATACGATCTTGGGGTCCAATTTCATGGGAATATATCAGCTAATAGAGACCTAAGGTGCCGGTTGAGCAGTGGCTTATTAGGGTCCCAAAATTACTTTCTATGTAAAATCACCCTATGGAGCTCGCACTGCAGCATGTGCAGCACCGGTCCAAAATTTGTTAAGGTTGGCAAGCTACAACTGAATTGTTAGAAAACTTTACTCTGGAAAGAAATGAACCGAGTTTGACGCGTAGGCGCTTTTGTATCACAAAACATGCTATCCAGTAGTCGCGGATGCATCATACGCTTCTTACCTTGCTCCTGCTCAGCTATCCTCTCTTCAGTTTTCGAGATGTAAGCGTCCACGTAGTGCAGGCTTCATCCTGCTCTCTTCGCAAAAATAGGCGTCTTCACAAAAATAGCAAAATCGTAGATATAAAATTTTAGGTGCACGTGGTACCACAAATTTGTTTCGCACCATAAAAGAAAAAACATGTCAAGACCAAATTTTTTTTGTTTAAGGTGAACTAATCACATGCAGCGTTGCTCACCGTATAAAAAGACCTTGTATTGAGTGGAGGCTATATGTCGCCGAATTTGGAAGAGTCCCGCGCAGATGCCCTGCAGGAACGCATGTCCGCGCATGTACAATGGTGCGTTGTCGCAAATGACCGCGGGACCACCCTTTTTCGGCGACATATAGTCCTCCACCCCCTTGATATTCATCATAGTTTGCTGCAGATGTGTTTATAAACATAGCATTTGTGCAAGAGCAGAAGACAGTGACAAGGTGGCAGCAGAAGCGAAACTCTTTTGAATTAGTTGAGAAAAATTATTTGAAGAACTCCGTAACTATATTTACTTTCAATGGTAGTGCACTGCACCATGATAGGTGCAGAGGTAATTATGCTAGACTCAATGAGTTTCAAAAACTTACGATTAGATCGTAGTATCCCACTCATTTTTTAAAGTAAGGTATTCTTTGACGGTACAGAAAAGAGGGCAAACGTTTGGTTGCTCGAATCTGTCTGAAGATTGTATGTAATGTTTTTTGTCAAAGTGCTATCATACTAAAGTGTAACAGAACTGATGAAGATTCACAGCTCTTTTTAGAAGGCTTCAGAAAAGGAAGCGCCTTCTTCTTCGTTCACCATCATTGGAGACCTTTTTTGCCCTGTTTTCTTATTCATCGTTTCGCTTCAGTAAAAGTGAGTTTGTTTAGAAATTCGGTTCTCTTCAAAATTAAAAGAATGAATCTTCAAATTCTTCCTTTCTCGAAATTTTGAATTCCTCAAAGAATCTAAATTTTCTGCAAACCTGCATATGCTTATATGTGAGCTGTGCTACAAAATGTATATTGAGTCATGACTTCTATATTGAGTCGAGAAATTTTGACGCAAACTTCAACGGTTGCTGCCTTATTTCTGCCCTGTATGCAGTCTTGTGTGCAAAGCGATTAGCTTTCATATTTTATAGAAAGATTAGGTTTAGAACATTTACAACTAGGAAACCGTGGCTGTCTTCTCTTCCAAATTTGAGACTTAAGAATTGAAAGATGCAATTTTCGCTTCCTCAGAAGAATTGAGAATAGTACTTTCGAACTATGAAACATCTGCTAGCAAAATTTTTATTCAATCAAATACAGTCTCAGCACAAGTGCACAGCTGACTATAGTCTGCACAATAAGTAAAGTGTCAAAAAAGTCTTAAAGTCTCAAGAATATTTTCAGCTAACCTAATAGGTTATTTGGGAAGTTTTTTTTGTTCTCTGAGCCCTCGACATTGGTATCATATTTTGAGAGGTCAAAGGGCTGATAGGGGGATGGTGTAGATGAATTTGTAGAGAAAACCTTCCAACTTCTAGGAATCTCTCCAAACATGCAAAAGACGCTCTATTAGGAAGTTTATAGGGCCACATGTGAAACGCGATTTCTGAATAACTTATTCTAGAGCTCAGACTTGTTAAGCCAGTGAAACAGCAATCATGTGCGCAGTGCAACTAGCAAGGCTACATCTTTTTCAAATTGGTGCGAGATTGGCTCGAAAAAAATCTAGAGAAGTAAAAATTTATATTTTGCAGTTCTGAAAGGTGTTGCTGCAATTTAGACGAGCAGCACAGAGGAGATTTCAATGCAAATTGCGAATGTCGCTGCACAGAAATATCAGCAGTCAGAGGCCCCATAATTCCATTATAAGCCATTTTCGCTAAAGCCGCAATGCAGAAAAACTTTAACAAGTGAGTACCCCACATATCGTTGGACTCGCGAACTGAGGAAGCGTTGAGATTGCTTTTAATATTCATAATTTGATAGAGCAACCCCTTTATGAAAAACTGTCAAGTGCGGCTGTAAGAAGCGGCATCTGGAAAAATCATTTGGAACAAGCAATACAAGCATAGCCACGAACATGGTAGTCACTCCAAAAGTAGTGAACTCAATCGGTGCAATACTGCTGACCTTGTACGCTACAGTCTTACTAATATATGACTATGCAATTATAGCAGATTAGTATGATAACGTCTACATACCGTTTGTCAAAACTGCAAAACCTAGCAGGCTTACGTGTAATAGGTGCCATCCTTACTCCGATGCCACCAAACCACATGTAAGAAAGATGGCTCCCAAAGTAGAGGTTGACTGCGCCTCGGTGTTTCTACTTATTTTTTGGACTCTACAGATCCTTCCTTACCGAACACTATTTTTGTCCGTCCCTTGGAGCTTATTTTGGAATGATAGGGCCCAATGAAAAATAGCAAGTCGAACACGCCTTCATAGGCTTAATTGATTCTTCCGAAACCAGCTTATGGGGAAATAGCATATTAATACTACATTAGCGTTGCCAGAGGTTTGTTGAACACAGCGAAGTTTATTTAATGGAGAAAGGTTAAAAAAGGTTATGCAGGTTGACAAAACGTTGGCAAAAGTTGTGCTCGTTCAAAGTCAAGGGTCGAAAAAAGAAAAAAACCTTTTCGAATGACCTAATAGAACACCATTTTACTACACGTTTTCCAGCAAATTGAAAGTTCTTTGCTTGAAAAACTCTCAAACAGCCCATCGGATAGATGTGAAAGAATTATGCACTGGGACAAATTTGCTCTATGAACATATATTCATATAATAATCAAAAGTTGTCAGAAGTGTGCAGTGAAGGTTCTCAGTATTAATTAGGTTCAAACGATGCACAGACGTCTGCGGCGCTTATGTAAGCGGTGTTTTTACAGTTTCGAATCTTGGCTGCTGGGAACTTGAAAAACTGCGTCATTTTGTCCGGATATATGATATCACCATAATGTAGGTGTTAACGCCGAGGCACAACGCTTGCAGTGACCTAAACCATCATAGCGCGCAAAAGCGAGATCGAGCAGCCTCCCTTTTAATCCGAGTGGTGCGTATATTGAGCGCTTGCCAGTGCAAAACTCTGCAAGACATCAATCGCACTGTGTGCTGCTGAGACTTTGAAGCAATCTCAAAAATCGACAAAATTGTACAATACAACTCTCATGAGGTACGTGGACAAACGAAGATGTGATAAGTTGTTGTGCGAAAAATTTTAAAAAATTGAGCAACAGTGTCAGTTTATGGAGGAAAGACATATTTTTCGGTGCTGAATATACATGCGATTCGAGTATCCTTAGGGGAACGGTAAACCTCAGGAATATCGGCAACTCCGCATCCATATGTTATCGCAAGCTCTACCGCCTGGAATGACAAATTGAAGTCATAGTAAAATGTCATAAGCAATTATCTATGACAGCGAATAAACACCAAGAAACTTTTCATTAAAGATAAAAAGAACAGATTTACCTCTCTTGTTGAAAGCATTGTTTCGGCAAAATTGCGACTGCGCGCTTTCTGTTCCTCCTTGGCCTTCTGGACGCTTTTAGACCAGACTGTGCTTGAAAAATCTAAAAAGTGCTTTTTATGGTGTTCTCTGGCCTTGGAGATTGTTGAGGAGGCTGGAGCTGAGATTCTCACAGCCGAGTCGCGAGCTGCCTGGGCAAATCAGCCAATTGCCGTCAAAATGAGGAGTGCAGTCTCCTGCAGCCAGTCACGTTTTTGGAGATTCTTTGCTCCAGCCTCCTTGGCAGTTTCCACGATCAAAAACTCCATAAAAAAGCACTTTTTTGACTTTTTAAACAGCTCTGGTGTAAACG